CAGGAGTTCATGGAGAGTGTGAAGGAGCGCTCCCTCTTGCAAAGGCAGTGTGACCAGTTGCAGAAGGAGAAGGAAGAGTTGGAGAAGAAGAATAAGCAGATGCAAGAGGTGCTGGACGAGGTGGTTCCAGTTGTGAAGCAGCTAGAGCAGGAAAGGTCTTCCTTGAGCACCAAGCTCGTCTTTGAGGAGAGCAAACGAAGGATCTCTGAAAGCGAGCGTGAGGCTCAGGCGAAGGAAAAAACACTGATGAAGGATGCTTTCGTGGAGCTCAAGGAGAATGTGCAGATGTTGGTGCATAATGGGATGAAGGAACACATCAACAACTTCATCAGCTCCAGCTCGTTTGACGACATCGTCAACTTATACTGGTTGCCAACTGCCATCATTGCTTTCACGGACTACAGAAAGAAGGTAAAGGTTGAATATCCCGAAGTGGATATTACTAAGATCACCTTCGGCGAGCAAGAAGAAGGAGGGGAGGAGAACGGTGAAAGCATGTCAGTAGACTTCCGTCCTCAGATCAAACTGAGGTGGGATCATGATGCAGACAGACGCGCTGTTTTCCCTCCAAAATTCGATTTCGAGTTCGTTGCAGTGGAGGAAGAAGGGGCAGAGGTAGAGGAAGATGAAGTAGAGGCAAGAGTGGAAGGAGCTGAAGTGGATGAGAGCCAACCAATTCCAAAAGTGGAGATTCATCCAGTTCCTTCTAACGATGAGCAGCCTCCTCTGCCAGACGAGCAACAGCCAACACAGTCACCTCTTCCAACTGAACAGGAGCCAGTTGAGCCACCTCCTCCAGCAGAGAAATAATTTTTGTTTGTTATTTTTTCTTTGATGTTTTTATTGTAACAACAGTAAAATAATCTGTTGTAATACTTTTTACTTTGAATGAAAATTCAGTTTTGAAATCATATGTTGTGTTTGCTTTACAATTTTGTTATTTTATATTGATAGAAGAACTGAGATTACTTGAGATGTGATTTGGAGGAAAGTTAATCATTTCAAAGATGAATTAAAAAGAAGTTAACCATTTCAGAAATGAACCAAAGAGAAGTAAGCCACTTCAGACGAATTAAGAAGAAGTAAATCACTTCAGACGAATTAAGAAGAAGTAAATCACTTCAGATGAATTAAAAAGAAATAAAGCACTTCATGTGCGAAGTGACATTCATTAATAGGAGTGACGTTCAAGGAATGAGTATTAAATAGATTGACTTCGGATATATAGAATAAGAGGTAAACTGAATCTTAACAATCACGAAGTAATAAGTATAAAGAGCAGGAGGACATAGATCACTTGAAAGAATTTTATTAAGGGTAAAATTTCTTCAAGTTATTGACATTCCAAACTCTAGGAACTCTCTTTCCTTCAGCGTCTTGGAGGACATAAGCACCAAGATGTGGCACCTCGGCCACAGTATAAGGGCCTTCCCAATTCGGGGCGAGTTTGCCAAAACGAGTTTCAAACCCTGTTAGGCTAGCTTTTCTGAGAACAAGGTCTCCTACTTTCAATGTTTGAGGGTGGACTCGTTTGTTGTAGAAGTTGGCTAATTTCTGCTTGTATACAAGAGTTAGAAGCCGTGCTTCTTCTTTGACTTCGGCAAGCAGATCAAGGTTTTCCCAAAGCAGTTGTCCATTTCGGCCTTCATTGAAATGGATGACACGGAAGCTTAGGACTCCTATTTCAATAGGAATGACTGCTTCGGTACCAAAGGCCAAGTGGTAGGGTGTTTCGCCTATTTCATGAAATTATATGCTTTAAAATATGCTTTACATATTATGCATATTGGATCTAAGGTAGAGTCTCAGGTGAGGAAGTGAGATAGAATGAAAATAGAATGAAAGGAACTTGGGCTGGAAATAGTACCTGTGGCAGTTTGGCTCGTTGTTCTGTATGCCAAGAAGACGTTGTTGAGCTCATTTGCGCACTTGGCCTTGTGCTGTTCCAACCTCAGCTTTATTCCTTCTATAATACATTTATTAATAGACTCTACCATACCATTGGACTCTGGATGGTAAACCAAGGTAAACTGCAATTTGATCCCATAGCTGACACAAAAATCTCGAAATGAGGAGCAATTGAATTGAGTTCCATTATCAGCCAGAATCTGATTCGGGATCCCATATCTGCAAATGATCGAGCTGAAAACAAAGTCTTCGACCTTCTTGGAGGTAAGACTGGATAATGGCCGAGCTTCAACCCATTTTGGCGTGGGCCAACAATCAGATGGGTTACACCACCAAGCCTTTTCACGAATGGGCCCAAAAGATCCAGTCCCCACTGAGCAAATGGCCATGGTGCTATCAAGTTTGTGAGTTCTTCTGCTGGTTGGTGAGTCAGATGTGCGAAGAATTGGCATTTCGGGCATCTCTGAACAAAGTGAGTGGCATCTTTGTACATGTTTGGCCAGTAATATCCCTGCCTTAAGACTTTGTGAGCTAGAGTTCAAGCACCAATGTGGCTCCCACAGACACCTTCATGTACCTCCTGAAGTGCATACTCAGCTTCGTAGGGGTTTAAGCATCGTAGAAGGGGGAGTGAGAAAGATCTCTTATAGAGGACCCCATCAACAAGCGTATACCAAGATGCTTTCTTCCTCAACCTCATTGCTTCTTGCTTGTCTTCAGGTACTGTCCCGTCTTGTAGAAAGAAGATAATTGAATTAGTCCAGCTCGGCGTGTTTGGGTTCGTGCTGATCTCCATCATTCGTAGCTTCATGAAGTTTGGTTCATCTAAGACCTCCACAAAAACTGATCTGGAACTTAAAGAGTTATCAGAGGCAAACTTAGAAAGTGAATATGCCTGTTCATTTTCAGTTTGAGGAATTTTGCTCAAACAAAAGTTCTAAAATTTGCACTTCAGCTCGGCCACCAGGGCTACATATTTCACCATCATAAGATCAACGGCCTCGCAGATTGAGTAAATTTGGTTCACCACCAGCTGGGAGTCACTGTATACTTGGATCGCACTGATTTTCAACTCTAATGCTAGTTGCAGACCAAGTAGCAAGGCTTCATACTCAGCCATGTTGTTTGTTGCATCGAAGTTAAATTTCAAAGCATGCTCACTTCGGTATCCATCTGGGCCAATTAAGAGGGCACCAGCTCCTGAACCCTTGTTACTAGATGCCCCATCAACATATAAGGTCCAGTTGTTGAGCTTTGGATTAGGGGTTAAATGACATGGAGTGCACTCGACAATAAAATCTGCTAGTGCTTGAGCTCGGATTGTCGATCTTTGTTAAAATGTTATCTCAAATTCTTCCAGCTCTATTGCCCACTTAATTAATCTTCCAGAGCACTCTAGTTTCTGCAGAATCTGTCGAAGAGGTTGATCTGTAAGGAAAATGATTGGGTGTGACTAGAAATATGGCCTTAGCTTCCTGGCCGAAGTGATAACTGCTAATGCTGCTTTCTCAACAATAGGATACCTCAGTTCTGCACCATGCAGCACACTGTTGATATAATAGATTGGCTTCTGTTGTTTGGCTTCTTCTCTCACCAGAACCGAACTAATGGCTTCACCTGAAATTCCCAAATACAAATAGAGAATCTCTCCATCTATGGCCTTAGTCAGTAGAGGTGGTGAGCTAAGATAAGACTTCAGCTCTTCGAATGCGGCTTGGCATTCTTGGTTCCACTCAAACTTCTTCTGTTTACCCGATTCATCCTTCTGGGCGGCTAACCTCATAATCTTGAAAAATGGCAGGCATTTATCTGCTGACTTCGATATGAACCGGTGAAGAGCTGCCACCCTTCCAATCAACCTTTGTATATCTTTTACTGACTTCGGCGGTTCCATCTCGACGATTGCTCTGATCTTCTCTAGATTGACTTCAATCCCTCTTCGGGACACCATGAAGCCTAGAAACTTTCCAGACTCCATGCTGAAGATGCATTTGGTTGGATTTAACCATGTTCTATTCTTTCTAAGATTGTTACAAGTTTCATCGAGATCAGCTAGATGGTTTCCTGCTTTCAGGCTCTTTACCACAATATCATCGACATAAACCTCCAAATTCCTGCCGATCTGAGCTTGGAAGACGATGGTCACCATTTTCTGATAAGTAGCACCTGCGTTTTTTAAGTCAAACGGCATCATAACATAGCAATAAATTTCGTCACCAGCATAGAACGAGGTTTTCTCTTCGTCCTCTAAAGCCATTGGCACTTGGTGATACCCAGAATATGCATCCAAAAGACTTAATCTCTAATTACCTGAAGCCGCTTCAACCAATTTGTCAATGCTCGGCATCGGATAGCAATCCTTGGGGCAGGCTTGGTTGAGATTTGTGTAGTCAATACACATTCGCCATTTTCCATTTGCCTTATTCACCAGGACTGGGTTAGCCACCCATTCGCAATAATCAACTTTTCTGACGAAACCAGCTTGTAGAAGTTTCTCTACCTCTTCCTTTATAGCCTGAAGCCTCTCCCCCCCAAAGAGACGTCGCTTCTGGGCCACTGGTTTCTTCAACAGATTGGTGCTGAGCTTATGTTAGGATACCAAGGGTGGAATTCCTGGCATGTCTGCCGAGGTCCATGCAAAGACATCATTGTTAGCTCGAAGAAAAGCTATTAGCTCTGCTCTTTCCTCCGGGTTCAATCTAGTTCCAATTTGCGTCTTTCGGCTTAGACCTCTGTTATCAATGGGCACTTCTTCAACATCTTCAATTGGAGCAGCTCTGGTTTCATCTTCTAGTCGGTTATCTATTATTTCAACACCCATAACTTGTTGATTATCAAGAATTTGTTGGGGATTGGCTTAGAGTGTCTGATCTTTGTCTTTCTAAGGTCGTGTGACCGAGGTGATATAGCAATGTCTGTCCACCTCCTGGTTACCCCGCAGTGTTGCTATTCCCATAGGAGTTGGGAACTGCATGCATAGGTGAGACTGGGAAACCACAGCTCGGATTTCAGTCAGCGTGGGTTGGCCAATGACAACATTGAAAGAGGATGCCATCTTGACTACTAGAAATCGAACTGAAGGAATCACATAATTTCGGTCACTTCCAAATGCAACATTCATGGTTAGGATTCCTTCAACTGGAACTGGTTGGTTGTTGAATCCATAGATGGGACCATCATACCGCTGCAACAAAGTTGGATCCAACCCAAGACTCTCAAAACAATGGAAGTACATGATGTCTGGTGCACTTCTTGTGTCAACAAGGACACGTTGCACCTCACAATTGTTAATCGTGATAGAAGTGATCAAAGGATCATTGTGGGGTGTAACAACTGTGTCAAAGTTAGCAGATGTGAAAGTAATGGGTTGATTCTTCTAGTTAGCGTCATCAAACTTCCGTTTCTGAGCTCAGTTTTGATGCTTAACCTCTCTGACATACAACTTTCGCTGTTTAGAGCTCAGTCCACCTGCTTCCAGGCCTCTTGTAATCATTTGTATGATTCTAGCTGGTGGTCGGAGTGGAGGTAGGGCTTGCTGATATCCCACGCCTTGCCTGTTTGGTGGATTGCGGACTCCTTGAGGCTGTGGCCTCTGTTCTCTGACAAACCTCAGCTGTTCAGCTTTCTGAATGTACTCATTCAACATTCCTTTCTGAGCTAGACTTTCTAGTTCGGACCTTAAGCTGTTGCATTGCTCTATTGTATAACCGTGATCTTGATGAAAATCACAATATCTAGTATGATCTCGGCTAGCAGCAGTAGTTCTCATTGGGTCAGGACGCCTTAAATCCATCTTGTTCTTAATCTGCATGAAAATCTGTGACCTCGGCAAATTAAAAGGAGTCCAATTAACTGGAGGTTTACCTACGGATTATTGTGGGGGTGTTAAGTTTGGCCTTCCGAATTTCGGTGTAGAGATCGACATCGGACCTTGGTTCTGTGTCATCCTCATCTTTTTCTTGCTTGGATTCTCATCTCTCCAGTCTAGGTTTTGGTTCTTAGAGGGAGTTGAGTTCTGCGCCAGGGCGTATTCCTCAACAGTTATAAATTTTAAGGACCTATCATTCACCTCGCTAAAGGTGGTGGCAGGATGTTTGATCAAACTGTCTCTGAACCTATCATGGTTAAGACTTGAAATCACAGCTGCAATCCCCACAGCCTGGTCGAAGGAACTAACCTCTAGTACTGCATCATTAAACCTGCTCATATAATTCTTCAGAGATTCTCCATCCCTCTGTTTAACTCTCAGCAACTCAGAAGTAGTTTTCCTGATCAACCTTCTATTGGAAAACTTAATGGCAAAAGTATATGCCATTTCTATATAAGAGCTGATTGACCTTGAAGGTAGACTGTAATACCAAGTTCGAGCATTATCTCGGAAAGTAGAGGGAAAGATTTTGCACATCAACACGTCGGAGGCATTCTACGCTTGCATGCAAGAGTAGAAAGCATGCAAGTGATCATCGGGATCCTTCGTCCCATCATAAGTCTCAAGTTGAGGTATTTTGAAGCCAGCGGGATAAGGTTCTAGTGTGATGTTGGTGTTCAAAGGGTGAGGTATTGAGTCAGCAGCATGGTGTTGGGGTGGAGCACCTCGCTGGTCAGCTACTAGCTTTTCTAAGCTGTCTAGATGTCTAGTGACATCGTTAGGGAGGGGTTGCTGAGCTGGTGCTATGTGAGATTGACCTTGAGATTCACTAAGGGCAGGAGCATGCTGAACTGGTTGAGGGTTTTGCTGTGGAGTTGGTGGTTGTTGAGCAGGGTTGAGTAAATTAATGAGGGGATCACCAGGATTGCTCCAAGCTAAGAGCTGAGCCAATACTAGCTGAAAGACACCAAACTGTTGTTGCATGGCAGCAAGCTGAGCTGCAACTACATCTTAGTTGGCGGTGGAAGTTGAGTTGTGAGCCGAGGTATGAGGTTGGTTTTCATCTCCTCTTTCTGCATGATCAACAGGAGGGAACATATTTGGGATTTGAGGTGGAAGCTGAGGTGGGAGCTGAGATGGGAGTTGAGGTGGGAGGTTGACCTTGTCCAAGAGGCAGAGATGAATTTCCAGCTCAGACTGATTGAGTGTTAACCATTATGAAAGAGCAACAAGAAAGCTTCCAGTTTGGATTCCCACAGACGGTGCCAAATGTAATTGCACCAAACTAGAAGTCCCTCTTCAGTCCGCGTCTGCACTCCAGATTGACTTGCAAAGCCCCGAGGTGGAACTCGGGGTAGACACTCCGATGCTTAAGTCAGTAATAATCGGGGCTACCTTTAGAGCGGAGATAAAAAGAGCTTAGGGTTGGTTTCAATTACCTTTTTAACGTGGCCCCTGTGGGGTATTTATAGGCTCTAGTGAGGAACTCATGTGGCATTCCAAGCAAGATAATCGGAACCTGACGTGTCTATCCAGGCGATTATTTCAGGGTCGGGAATTTGAGAGATATTCAGAGGCAAGGATGCCCATCATAACTGCTGTGCAAGTCATCATAAAGAATTAGGTGCGGGTATGCTTATTGTCGCTGTCATGCAGCTGTTTAGGCGGGAAGCTTTGGATTTACCCTTCACTTCAGTCATAAAAGAATTACCGTAATAATTCGAGGTTGAGCACCTCGAACCTATCCTTACAATTATAAATATTTTTCCACAAATATAACTAGATAATTATTCACTAATTATCAAAATTTTGAAAAACAATATGTTTCACATTGAGCCTAGCCAACTTTGATTTTAGATACAAGTTTAAACCTTTACAGCTATGTACTCCCTCTAGTACTTTTTGGTTACCTTATATCATCAATTTTATATTAATTAACTTAATGATTTTATATAAACAAATTAATAACAATTGAAGATTTTTTTTAATCAAGTGCATATATTCAACAGATATTATATTTAAAAAGAAAAAAATTTTCAATTATCATCTATTTACGCTATGGTTAAATATACACAATTAAAACAAATTAGAGAAGATAATACTTTAAATAGAAATTTAATTTTAGTTTTGATAAATTTGGTCCACTACTCATCTCAAATCATCCTAGCTTCGCCATTGACTGGTATCCTTGTTATATGTGCATGGCAGAATCTCCTGTCCTGGTTATGTGGGAACTTAAAGCATGAGGCTTTACTTAATACTATTCTCAAATTTGCATGGTGTGTTATCATTGACCACATCTAGCAAGAAGGAAACAACAGACTCCATTACAAAGTCTTTAGTTCTGAGCTGTCAGTTTTAGGAAAGGTCGTGTAGATCGCACTACTAGAATACATGGGGTCACCGAAGACAAACCACGTTGGGAACAAACGGCATCAGTCGGTAAAACCTCTTTGCCACTTGAATCGTGTCGGTGATAGATTTGTTGGAGAAAGTCACCTCGATAATTAGTTTACCAATGTAGATTAAAGTTACATTGGTAAATTACCGCAAATTATCGACGAGAAACATATCTCTAACTCGGTGCTAGAATAGTACCACCAGAGCTCTTTTAGGTAAGCCATATCAGTTAATTGGGCCACATTACCGACGAAAAGCACGTCTCCAAATAGCTACCAGAATAGTGCTGCTAGGTATCTTCAATAGTAAGCCACATCGGTAATTTACCGATGAGAAATATGTATAAAATTGATGCTGGTACCACACTTCTTTTATAATATTTCTCATTATTTACCGACAAAACATGAATTGACAACTTACTACAACAAGGTTTTTTTTTTTTTTTTTTTTACTTCAAGTTATTGACGAAGTAACATTGGTGTAAGAATCTTCTTAAAAAAAAAATACAATTTCTTAAATTAATATATATTTTTTTTATTCAATTCAATTAATTTACTGTTAAATATTACTTAATTTATAATTTTTAATATTGTAAAATATAATTATCATATTAAAATTTGATAATACAAACAGAAAATTATTGAATTTATTTGTTTAAATTAATGATTAAATAATAATTTAAAAAATAAGAATAATATGACAAATTTAAAATATAATTGAATCACATAACAAAAAAAAAATTAAAGATTACCTCAATTATAGAGTGAATATTTATAGAGCACCATTTCCTAAAAATAATGAAGAAATATAGATTAATTTAGTATTTAATATATAAATTCAACCAAATAATAATAATCAAAATATAATTGAAATTAATTTTTTTTTACATAAATAAAATTTACTTACCCAATGATTTTCTCCCAACAATGTTTCCTAGAAAACGACATTAAAATAATTAGAATTGTACATAAATTGATTAATAACTCAAATTAGTGTTTAATCAATTAGGGAGAAAGAATGAAAGACAAAAAGAGAGGAGATTGAGAAGATATAAACCTAAGATAATATGAATATAATGTAATTATAAACATAATAAAATCTAGCAGCATTTGAATGGAAGAGAAAGAGGAGAGACAGATAAGGGAGAAGAAGAAAAAAGAAGAAAAAGGAAGGAAAAAAGAAATGAGCGGATCATGGAGTGGTGGTAATATATAGAGTATTTTACCTATGTGTATTTTGTCGAAAATGTGGATTGCTGATGTAATCCACATAGGTAAATTTAAGTTTAAATGGGAGGAGAAAAAATACAAAAATTTTGCAATCCTGCCATTTTATTACCGACAAGAGTTTTCAAATTACCAACTAGCTTCATGTTGGCAAATTAAAAAGAAAAAATCCCATCAAGATTACCAACGAAAATCATGTTGGGAAGTAAAAAGGTGGCTCATTGCCGACAAGATGCATGTTGGCAAGTGAAAAGGTGATTTTTTGGCATTTTCAACAATATCGACGTGCCTCTCATTGGTAAATTCAACTCCTATGTACTAAAACATCGGTAGCAAAATAACCTAGACTCTCCAACTTTCTTTCTAGATTTTGTCCCTTTTCATGTCATTTTTTGAATTTATCAAATAGGTTTCTTGCATTTTAATCATTTTAGTGGGCATTAATAGAGTTTCCCCATATGTATGATAAAAGTCAATTTTTTTAAATCTACATTTGCAAGTCTACAACTTTGTTATAAAAAAAGCAATTATATCTCTTTAACCACAACCACAAAGTATCAACCACAAACCATCAACCTCCATAATGCCTATGATATTTAATTTCAAATTTATTCAATAGATTTCTGGCATTTTGGCTATTTTAGTTGGCAAAAATTCCAAAAAAATTTTTGGCAGAGTTTCCCCATACATATGAGCAAAACCAATTTTTTTGAACTTGCATTTGCAATGAAAAATAGATATTCTACAACTTTACCATACTAAAAGCAATTTTACCTTTTCAACCACAAAGTATAGCAATCACACACCATTGTCTTAAATGCCTACGATATTCAATCCCCCAAAACAGTCCAAAACTTCAAACCTTTTGAAGTATGATTATTGGAAGTCAAGCAAAATAGGAAAAGACATCGCAATGAAAAGCTAAAGTTAGCAATTTAAAGTATTAACATAAATAAAGTCAACCATGCAAAGTGTGCAAATAATGTACATAGTAGAAAACAAAAACTAAGGAGGCCAAAAACTGGATGGTATACATCATCTTGAGGCAAAAGTTGTTGCTGCTAATATTCAAGCAATATAAGAGAGATCTATGTAGAATTAGTAAAGTAGGCGAAAGTTGTATTCACGTGGAGACTTGAGCCTTGACTATGTGGCGATTGTGGTGGGGCAAATGGATGATGACCTACTTAGGGGGAGATGCCATAAGTAGCCAGAGCTGCTACAACAGACTGTGCAATTGTCTGGCTCATATTATGTTGGGCTTATGTCATTTGGACCAGCTGTTGTTGCATTAGAGCCATTTGTTGGCATTGCCTTTCTAACTCTTCATTTTGTTTTGCCACAAGGTCATTCTTGCGTGCCTACTTCTCAGCAAAGTCAGACATCATCATCGTTGCTATCAAGTTGTCTCGGGGGTTATCTTTTCTTGTAAGTAAAATCCAATCCCTGGCATGAAACTAGATGAATAACCTCCAACAGCCTTAGCCCATGCCTTGTGATCTATGCACGGCCATGAACTAGCATTAGAGTCATGGGTCTCCACACACTTCATGACATAAGTATCCTGAAAATAAAAAATAACAACAATAATAATAATGTTGTTAAAAGCAGTTTGAAAAGAATCTATAAAAGAAAGGTAAACTTTGCTAAATAATTTAGATTAATTAAATAAATTTTTCTGATATTTATAACTATAGATTTTATGGTAATTTATATATTATATATACTTACATATCGATACTTTGCCTTTTCATTTATCCACACTGACTCCTGATCCTTTGCCACCTTCTTTCTAAAGGTGTGTGTCTCCTTGAACTTCTCCTGATGGGGAGGTTGCACACCACCTCTAGCTTCAGTTTGTATTTCAAAATATTTATAATGCAATATATTGGTTAGTATAAATTGACACAATTTATTGTTCAATAAAATTTAATATATTTAATTTTTTTTATTAATTATGCTTGATTACCATTCTCATCACTACTAGAAATTTATCTATTTTCTGGTGGCTATTTTCCAATGCAGGAATGTGTTGGCAAATAATGAACTATTTTCCAATATAATACGTTGGAACATAAAGCGCTAGTAAATATCTAAATTTACATCAATATTTGGTTGAAACAATTATTTTCTAGTGGTCAGCACTAGAAAATAATGATGCGCAAAAAAATATTTTCATGCCTTGTTATTTTCCATTGGTGGTCACTAGAAAATAATGAAGATATTAATTATTTAATTTATAAAAAAAA